GCAAAGAATATCTTACCATCGCAGTTGGAGAGAGCAATTGGTCGGAACTTTGCTGGATCTGATACACTGTCAGTTTTAGCAATAAGTGTAACCGAGGCGCACGGCCAAGATCGCGGGATGACACCAGTCTTCCAAACTGTTTCGAAGATGCTGAAAAGGATATTGTGGAGGAATTTGCATCGCTTCCAGATACTGTAAAACGATAAACTTTCACGGCTCGCAAATTTCGCGTTTTCAATAATTGCGCTGGTTCACGATAAGAAACTTTCGCGATCTCATCTACTGAGTTGGATCTTGAGGAGTCAAAAATCTTTGTACAGAGCAGTTCGCGGCGATTTATATTCGCCAATTTGTGATGGTCGTGAAAATAGCTAAATTTAATCTCTAGCGAAAGTTTCTCACTTTACAGTAATGTACGGAATGCCGTTGGAACCAGGAGCTGACTTGTTCCTGCATTTTCTTAGGTTATTTTGAAACAGGGTCCATGTTGGACTTAACGGAGTGGACGGTTTGCTCGTGGCTGGAGAAAAATCCGGCAGGTAGAAAGTTTGACCACGTTCCGGTTCTTCATGCAACTTGGAGAAGTAATAAAAACAAATCTGTTCTAAGAATTCAGGATTCACAGGCGTTCCTTTCCGAGATAGCCGGAAAGGAAAGCCTGAAAAGAGTCGTACTCCGCGTCTACCCTCAAGCAACGAGAGTTTCTTCTTCGTCCTGTCGAGGATGTTCTTCTGAACGATCTTCGTGTTGGTCAGGAGTCCGGTGAAGGACTCCGGAGCCTGTGGTGAGTATGTCTCCTGTGCCATTCTTTCGAGTCACATTATATTAGGTGCGAATTTATTTCAACGATTCAATATCCAGTGTCTTGCGAAATTCGTTCAGGATCGCTATCAATCGTTGATGCTCCTCGTTAGTGAGCTTCCCATCTTCCAGAGTATTGCCCAATTCCAACATGAACGCGTCTTCAGCTCTCTCCATCTGCTGCAGTTGTTCAATACACGTGATAAGCTGACGTTTGGTGTCGAGAACGTGTTTGCCTATGCATGCCATGATCACGCCGATGATCGTGCTACTGATGGCGATAAATCGAATGCGGTGTTCTCCAGATACGACACCACTCCCTTGAAGAATGTTGAGAATGGTTTGACTGAATATGAGAAAGGACAAGATTGCGGTGTTGTAAATCATGTACTTCTCCAGGCAACGCACTTTTTCGCTCTCCAATTCCTTTCGTTTTGCTATATCCTCCACCATGTCTCGCACGTGACGGACACAAACATCTGGAAGATCCATCTAAGGCGTGTTCGTAATTCGAAGATCAAGGTAGACGGGGTATCCGGAAGTGATGTATTCACCGGTGTTAAATTTCAACCAAAACGAAATGCTAGTCACGTTTTCGTGTGGAAGCAGCATTCGCTTGTCTTCTTTTCCAAACAGGTAGTTATTCAAACCGTTGAGGGTTTGAATGAGAAAGGTCTTCAACACCCTCGAATCAGTGTTGTCTTCGTACTCCACAGCAGGTCTAATTAGGTCGGTGTAGAGCAGGACAAGTCGTCTGTCTTTTGTCAGATCCAAAGCGAACGGGAAAGTGTGAGGTCCCACGATCGTGTATGGCTTGAGAACAGTGCCCACTATTGGTGTCGGGGTCCCAACGCATCCCAACACTCAACAGAATACTATCAGTTAGTTACATTACATTATACTACTGAAACGGAAAGCCATCTTTGTCTCCAACCAAAGCAACAACTCGCGGAGCAACCAAAGAACAACTAAAACTGAAAAGAAGAACCACATGGTTCAAAACCAATACACAAACCCGGCCTGTAAGTAGTAGGGACCGAGCAACACGTGCATGAAAGCAAGTACAGAATCCAGAAGGTAGCTTGCATGAAAAGTGCATAGCGTTCACACCTGTATGCTAACCCGCACTACAACTCGCGTACTATACAAGGGACTAGTACTGCGCAATACGCACGCATCCAAACCAAGCAGCGCAGTAGGCACGCATTCAAATACGCTGTAGACATGCAGTGCATAAATCTCCGAGTCCTCGTACAAACTGTGCAGTGCTGCAAAAGGTACAAATAAATAACTATCAAACAAATATCAATGTGCAGGTCAGCAACATCCTCCCCACCAAAACCTAGTGTTGTTGTTGTTGTTGATTTTTATTTTACTTCGCAAGGCCAAACGGGCAATGGTGCCCAATTCTATGGAAGCGAATTTCAAAAGGGAGAGAGCTACGGAGAGAGAGAAAGAGAGAGAGAGAGAGAGAGAGAGAGAGAGAGAGAGAGAGAGAGAGAGAGAGAGAGGGGGGGGGAGGGAGGGAGATGATAAGCAATTTTGCAGCGTCAACAGAGCAATTTTGCAGTGTCAATAGAGCGATTTTGAAGCGTCAACAGAGGGAACACAAAGAGTTCATAAGTGCACAAGCACGCAGAGAAGAGTAAATGACGTGGTGTGTGGACGGGAAAAGTCAGACAGAGCATTCATTGCAAGGTGTAGGGGATGGAGGCAAGCTTAAATTGCTGGGCAGCCTTGATCTCCCTTACACTCCTTGGGAGAGCGTTCCAGGCCAAGGCTGCCTGAAAGGCCAGGCGAGATCTGCCGGCTTCTGACTGTGCCGAGGGGACGGTGAGGCCCCTGGAAATCTGGTGCCGGGTGGTGCTGCCAGCTGATGGTGAGAATAGGTCCTGGACGACACTTCTGGCTTTCCCATTGACACAGCGCTACACCAGGACGAGCCGCTTCTGGGCGTAGCACTCGCGAACTCTGTACAGGGACATCCGTTCGAGCAGAGGCTAAGCCGAAGTGTGAGGCGGCAAACCATATACCGCTCTCGCCGCTCGGTTCTGCAGGACCTGAAAGCGATCAAGCTGCGAAACCTTGAAGGAGGAAGAGAAGGCGTTAGACCCATATAGGAGGTCAGGCATGATGATTGACCTCACATACTGGATGCGACTACTGAGGCTCAGACATCTGCGGGACCGCCACAATGCTCCAATCTTCTGCACAACTTTCTTCGCCATCGCGTCAACATGGGGATCCCACTTCACAGCGGCGTCAAGGGTCACGCCGAGGTACCTTGCTGTTGGGCTCAGGGGAAGCTCTGTCTGGTTGCAGCGGACAGCGACATGCTGACCCGCATTGCGTTGTGGTACAATTGACAGGACCTGGCTCCTCTTGTCATTTAGAAGCAGATGGCGATGCTTGAGCCAGTCAGCGATGTTGGTGTAGGTTTCAACCGTTGCCTGTCGCTATACGCTGGGCGAGCGGAGAAGGTAGCGGATCATCCCACTTGCCTTGTTCCTTCCAGGCCTCTTGCAGGAGGATCTTGCCTGTCAATACTGCCGGTGACACCAAGTCGAGCGGATCAAATGTCGCTGCTATGCACTTCAATGGGGTGCGCCTCGTTCATGTCTTCCAGAGTGGCAGTTGACACTGCATCGCTACGTGAGAGGGAGATTGTGTTTGCTGTCAAACACTAGGCGACGCCGAGGGCATTGCCTGTAGCAGCTGAGGTGCTGTGGCTGTTGCTGCTGCTGCTATAGCTGAAATCACTGCTACCATTGCTACTGTTATCATGAAGCAGGGTATGGTGTTTGTTGCCACACTTGCTGCAAGTAACACTACTATCACACATTCTCCGGCTGTGCCCTGTCCGCAGGAAACGATAGCAAAGGCCATTTTTGCGCATACTCACGGCGCTGAGCAACAGGCATGCTGTGGAGCTTGTTCTCGTCATCGGCAGTGGACAGCTTGAAGCGCTGTGCTGATGCACCCTCGGACTCCAACGCCATGGTTTTCTGGTCGGACCCAGAACGTACACCATGGGCTTCCTGATACCCTGTACCCAGTTCTGTGATCTCTTCAAACGTTTTCTCACCGATCTTGTTTTCCAGCAAGTTCGCACGGAGGTCAAGGGAGCATCCCTGGAACACAAATTGGCGGACGATTGCCATGAACATCTCACTGTTCCCACTGCTCTGCTTCTGGCCCTGCGGCCCTCCAGATAGCGATGCCCACTCTTGCACCAGTTGCACTACATGGGTTACGTACCGGAAAAACGTATCCTCCGTCTGCTGATGCAGAGACAAGAGCTCGGACCACGTCTTCTCGGTAGTCTTGCCAAAACTATGTGTGCCTTGAACTTTAGCGGTTTCATAAGTTGTGACATGATCCAGCACCCTTTCAAGGCTTGTCCCCATCGCAGCCGAACGGAGGGTCAACAACCATGTCGATTTTTCGTAGCCATTTTGCTGAACAACAGCCTCAAATGTTATCAAATAACGCCGGATGTCCTGTTTGTCGGTGTATTTCGGCACGTCCAACTTCTGGGGGCGCTTCTGCACGTCGTTACTGCCACTGCCACTCGCGGCCTGGAGTTTTTCGAACTCCTTCCTACTGTTCAGCTCCTTCTCAGCGATTCTCTCTGCACGCTCTTGTGCTCTCTGGTCCCTATCGGTTGCTTCGGTGAGCTTGCGCTCCACGAAAGAGACCAGTGCCTCGCCAGAATACCCGTAATCCTTGCCAAGCTTTAGATAACTCGTCTCCAGCTTCATCCATCCAAAAGCCTCAGCGCTTCCACCAGCATCAGGCGATTTCCCTTCGGCTTCGGACTTGGCCATGCTAAGCCAGTACGCTACGATGCACGATTCAAATTTTACTGGGTGGTCACCAAATATTGGTGTCGGGGTCCCAACGCATCCCAACACTCAACAGTATACTAGCAGTTATAGTTACATTACATTATGTTACTGAAACGGAAAGCCATTTTTTTTCCTTTACAAAAAAACACACACCATTTTATGGCACAAAGCAGCAAGGCAGCGATGAGACATATGGAATGGCAGGAGTGGGGGAGAGGCAGGGGCAGCTTGACCGACCATAGGGTCTCGGCTTCATTGCAACCCAAGCGCTCCACAAAAACAAAAGACTACAGAAAATACGCAGGGGGGGGGGGGGGTAGATAACTGGGGATTGCGGGGGAAAGTATGCACAATAAAAAGTTATCAGAGAGTCAACGAAGTGAATGGAGGAGGGAACAGAGTTAGAGCTTTTTTCGTCTTTTTTCTTTGATTGATAGCCTGTCCGTTGCCCACTCCCAGCGGGTAAGGCGCAGGTGGGCGTTGACCTTTTCTTTGAACTTCTGCAGTCCTTTCCTTGTTGGCTGGTTTAGCAGAACGCACTGCGGGAGCTGGTTCCAGACCTCCACAACAGCGTCAGGGAAGGACCGAAAGACATCATTCCGTGCTCTGGGCGGAAGAGTGGAAGTGAGCTGAAACTGGTGTGAGGGATGCTTTTGTGTGCGTCGGCTATGGCGTGATGTGTTGGTCGCTCGGGGTGGAAGAAGGGTGAGAAGCATGTCTGGGCCAGTTGAAAAGTGGAGCTTGTACAGAAAGCAGAGTGCTCCGACCATTCTGCGGATGTCCAAGCTAGGGAGGTAGGCTCCGTCACCGATTAGGTGAAGGCCACGGCGTTGGATGGCGGTGAGGCGAGCCAGAGTGGTGGGTGCAGCGCTCATCCACACGAGCATGCCGTACTCCAAAACAGGGCGGACAAAGCCCTTGTAGATCACTCCACGGCACCTGGAGTCCAGCACTCGCGAGGCTTTCCGGAGGAAGCCGAGACGCTGCGAGCCTCGAATAGCCAATTGCCTGATATGAGCTGTGAAGGACAGGTGTTGGTCAAACAGGAAACCCAGCAGCTTCAGCTGGTCGACTTCCGGAACAACTGTGCCCTGGAATACAATCTTTGTCTTCAACCAAAGCAACAACTCGCGGAGCAACCAAAGAACAACTAAAATTGAAAAGAAAAATCTCATGGTTCAAAACCAATACACAAACCCGGCCCGTATTCGCGTATGCCAGCGACACGTGCATGAAAGCAAGTACAGAATCCAGAAGGTAGCTTGCATGAAAAGTGCGTAGCGTTCACACCTGTATGCTAACCCGCACTACAATTCGCGTACTATACAAGGGACTAGTACTGCGCAGTAGGCACGCATTCAAATAAGCTGTAGACATGCACTGCATAAATCTCCGAGTCCTCGTACAAACTGTGCAGTGCTGCAAAGGTACAAATAAATAACTATCAAACAAATATCAATGTGCAGGTCAGCGACACCCACACCCAGCACCAATCCGGGTGAGTCCTTCTTCAACAAGCACCTTTTAGTCCTGGGTAACGAGACACTTATGCGGCTGGTGTGACGAGAGTAGGAAAACACAATGTCTCCATGTCCTGCTCGGTTCAGAGTGGCATTGATTATAGACACCAAATCGTCTATATCGCTGTATGTTCCCGTCTTGACGGACAGTCTATCCTCTTCTTCTTCGCCATGTACCACATAGAGTTTGTTCGTTGCCTCGTCTATGTTCTCAAAGTGTACTTCAAACTGAGCGGATTCAACATGCAGGACTTTATCGCGGGTATCGAGGTCCTTCACATTTAGAGTAAAGTTCGGTTTGTGCAATCCCCTGCTCACTCCCGACGTGTTGTTCGCCACTGTCAATATCACAGATATTCTGGTGATGTGATGATAATCACTACAGATAGGTTTTATTTTTCATTTTCACCTCAAGAATGTAGTGTAGCATGTGTGCTATACATGTGTGCTATATATTGTAGTGTGCCATGAGTTCTGTGTGGACAGCCCTGGGTTGTGCGAGAAGATAAACTCTCTGCAAAGTGCAAATGACAGAACAACTTTGACGTAGTGCCGTTGAAGAATTGAGTACCACCAATGCGCTTAATCGCAATCTTCGATTCCATTGGTCCTGAAAAATGGGTCAGTTTCCAAGTTGGAATGAATCAAAATGGAGTTTACGTGTAGAGTGAATAGGCCTTCTGAATTCCGAGCGTAACTTATGACACACTTTGTACTCAAGAGATCTGTCATGCTCGACACAGGTTTATCCAAAGCCGCCGATAATTGGTTCACTTAAGACGAAACGGGTAGATTGAATAATGAATAGCCAGAACCCGTGAAGTAATTGCCACTCATGTGGGTGGCAGTGAACAACACGTATAAAGCATCCAAGCTGAAATTTCCGACAGTATCGATGTCGATTGTCTTCAATGACATGTTTCTAGGGACAGGTGCGTCCACTTGAATTACTTGGAACATTGCAAAAGACATGTTGTCGTGAAACTGATTGACGAATCGTTCTCTAATGGAAACTTGCTTGCGTTGTGAAAATAATGTTGAGGTAGAAGTGACCGTCTCGGAACATGTCGATGCTGTTCACGTTGATTCTCTTGTCCTTCAAGTCAACGAGATTTTCCCTCTGTATCTTTTTCTGCTCACCCTGTTGACGGATTCAAATCTGCTAGGATGAGAGTATATGTAGAGGTAGGCGTTTCTCAGAATGTGAGGTAGTAGATGAAACTGATCGGATAGGTTCTGATTTGATTGCGGACCCATGGGGCCTCTGGCTCCTGGAGGACCTATGGAGCCGATGATTCCTTGGGGGCCCACAGGACCTCTGTTTCCTGGAGGACCGGTTGCACTGATGGTTCCTTGGGGACCCACGGGACATACGGCTCCTTGATCACCTTGCACACCACGTTCACCTTGTGAGCCGTCTTGTCTATCTTCACCTCTAGGTCCAATCTCACCTACAGGACCGACTAATCCACGTTCTCCAACTTCACCTCTGGGACCTTCTGGACTAGGTATTCCTTGATCACCTTTTTGACCGCGTTCACCACCTTGCCCATTAGCTCCTCTAGGTCCAGTCTCACCTTCGGGACCGATCGATCCACGTTCTTCACGTGGACCGTCTTCACCTCTTGATCCATGAAGCTGACCGAAAGTCATCCATTTCGAGCTGAATTTATTGTACACGATGAGCGTGGTTGCATCGAAATAGAAGTCACCATTTCTCCCTATAGAGTTCAATGGCATGCCACCTCCGCTAAGCCATCCCAATCCCCGATCGCCACGAGGACCTTTCATCTTGCGCACAGCGTCGATATCGTGTTGCAATCTCGATGATGATTGACGGATTTCATTCTTGACCCAACCGGCAGGGGCAGCACATGTCAAAGAGCTATCATCGTACGCCAAATTACAGATGGAATGCTCGTTCATGTCGAGGTTAGCTTTCATGGGCACGGATCCGCCTGTTTTAACGTGCAGCTCATCAGCTGCTATGGCTTGATAGGTGAAGCGCGTTGATCTGTTTTCCACATCTTCCACTTTGCTCTCATCGGCTTTCTCATATTTCAGTTTCTCCACATCATGAACCAAGGTGTTTTCGGTGTCATCGTTCCCCACAACCGTTTGCATCTCGACAATGTCATTCCGCATGCTTTGCATGTGTTTGAGGGCGGCCTCATCACCATCACTCCTACGGAAATGCATAGCCCAGTACGCCATCTTCACACACACACACACACACACACACACACACACACACACACACACACACACACACACACACAAACACACGCACGCACGCACACGCACACACGCACACGCACACGCACACGCACACGCACACGCACACACACACACAAACACTGTACTAATTATGATAGGAAATATTTTCTTTCTCAAAAAAACTTTATGATGCTCATAAGAACAGGTAAACAACAGGCAATGCACAACAAACAAGGGCCACAGTCATCTTGTTGATGAGTCGACCGTTCATCCTCCTCCTCGATTTATCATGAATGTGTTTCATGAGGAAATCTCGTGCTAACAACACCTTCGCACGATCGCCTTTCCGTGCCAGCATGTCCAACAGAGTCACTGAATATGACAAGGTCATCTCCAGGGCAACGATGTCGTTTGACGCATGACTCCATAAACCTTCCATGATGTCGCATATGCAACTTTCAAGTCGTTCAGCTTGTTCACGATCACCATCGCCAACAGTAAAACTCACAGCATGCTTGAGAATGTCAGGTCTCTTCATACCAACATTTTAAGCAGATGTCCACGTGTGAAACAATGTCAAATCACGAACGAACAAATGGTCAATGTCAAAGGCATGACGAGTCTCCGAGCATTCACCTTCATCCTTTGCGTATGTCGCAAGAACATGGTCAGCAACTCGTACTAGCAGATGACACACCTGACATTCGTGAGTCTTGTGATCAGCCGATCCGTTAAGACTCTTTGCAACGTGAAACCATCGCTTGTAAGGGGAATCCATTTCGTAGAATGCGAAGTCACGAGGCAACTGATCAGTACTGTATTGAATGTAGGAATGACTCGACTGCATGTCAAGCATGCATATTTATACAAATGAGAATGGGGTGACTTGAAAATGCAAAGTTGTCAACCAATCACCATCAAGCCCACCAAATACAGATGATGGAACCTTGACATGATTGATCTTGTCATGATTGACGCATTCCTTGATGGTGTGCACATGAGATCACCCTGGTTCATCTTTCTCTGGCAGAGCTCCCGAAGGGAAGTACATCTTATATCCAGGTTTGTAGAAGGATTTACCCGATAACTTGTAGGACAGCTGCATATCCTCCTGAAACCCATCCACCACAATTACTTTGTGGAGCTTGGTAGGAGCAGGTGATACATAGCGACGCTTAGCCGGTACTGGCTTCGAAGAGAGCCCAACTCGAGGAGGGTCAGCAGGAAGAGCGGAATTCTTCTTCATCCGTCGCTCGTATAGGGAAGCCATTTTCTAGGAAGTGAAGTCAGGACAACTAGTCAGCACTGTATCCGAAGAACGAATGACTCAACTGCAGGACAATCATTCGTATATATACAAGTCAGAGAGGTAGGTGGATTTAAATGATAAGATATGTGTCAACCAATCAGCATCAAGCCCGCCAAAAACATTTCACAAATCAGCATTGTGCCGGCAAAATCATATCTCATTATAAAGATTCCTTACATGCTACCGCCACCTTAGTGAATTGATACAGTATGGAAATAAGATCACAGTCAAACGTGTGCATGTTCTGGATCACGGGATCAAGTGAATAGGTTTCCCAGCAATAAGCATCAATCAATGATGTCATAAGAGATATATCAGATGGAGATAAAAGCAGCAAATTCGACCGCAACGTGGACAATTGCAATGAATACACCATCCTAGTCGACTCCATAAGATGCAGTACATATAGGAGTGGAAAATGCTGAGGAAGAGGTTTCATGATTCGACTGAACCTCAACCAGGATACATTGCTATGAGGTAAGTAGAAAAGCAGTTTACGTAATGCATCAACATTCGTTTCGTATACTATACAGGATAATGCTATAGCATAGTTTATACTCTTGTACAAACAGGACTTCTTCATCGCACGTATCTGCTCTCGAAGAGGGTGTACACGAAGCTGATCGGATAAGAGTTCAGTTTTCGAAAGAAAATGCAAAAGATGACGATCCACACCACATAACCGCTCATCTGCAGCGTAAGGCTTCTTCATCAAACTACATCTCTTATGCACATCAACTTCAGGTAAGTAAACCACATCCATGACAAGTCCACAAGAAGAACATACGTATCTTCTTGCATGAACAACATTATCGAGATGATGACACAGTTTTCCTCCCCTTCTTGATCTTCTTCTTCTTCTTCTTCTTCTTCTTCACAAAGTCTCTTTTCACGTACATAGGCACGTAAGATCTCAAATTCAAAAGGTGGGGTACAATCCACCCTTCACCCGAAAAATCATTTTTAACGTAAAAACCAGCGCCCGGTTTTTACCCCAAAAATGGGGTACTATCAATAGAACCCCATTTTTTCGGGCTGGATCATGTACCTCTCACAGAACCGGCTTTATACATACTACTGAGATCTATCGGCAACAGAAAACTCTCAGCTGTCGTCTTGAAGAAACCCGAACGAACGCGACCCAAGGTCCTGTAGTCGGGCTATATCTCAAGCTGTATTATGAGCTTGTAAAATGCACTTCAGCTGGGGATTTGTCCATTTTTGCGCGTCCCTAGCCAGCCAGGTGCTATGACCAAAATCATGCTACCGGAATCCAGAGGTCTTTGCAAAATCCCAGTGCTCTACGATAAACTTTGAGGGAATTGCGTTGCGATGTGTATTTCGCTAGCAATTGACATTGCTTCCCTCACTGTACATTTACGTTGATGCTTGTCATGTCTACAGGAAATGTATTACTTATGGATAGAGCCTAACAGAAAGTCAGAGATAGTGAAAATCGACCTACAAGTTATTAGTGGAGTTATTCAACTTATCGTGGGAGAAGTATGTGCAAGAATGCCGATTTCGAATTTTCTGAGATCAGTTCTAGTCCTTAAGGATTGGCAAGAGAAAAGGCGGCCATGGTGGCCCTCCTCATGGCACGAAGCTCCGCACTGTGCGTGCCACCATTTTTGACAAGTGGACTGCTGAGCGTGACAAGGACCTTTCGACGGGGAGTATGAGAGATGCAAAGATGATCACGCAGGGATGATGTGGTTAGGTGCAAGGTTTGTGTGCAGTTTCCAAGGAAATTGTGTTCGTTCATATCGTTCGGTCGAGAATTAAAAAAATGTTGCCTTTCAGCGACATGTGAGGCAAAATGGCAAGTCCGGGAAGTGTCAGGACATTACGTCAGTACGACCCTTATCACATGGCCTGGAACTCAAAACGTGCACATGCGCTTGGTTACAAGCCGGGGGGAGAGGGGGGGGGGGGGGGGGGGCACAATCCAAGGGAGGGCTATATATTTTTTTCACATGCTCATAGAGACTGGGGCACTCTTCAACATAGAGCACTATTCAAGAGAGTGCTCTAATCGCGAAAGTACGGTAATCCTTCTTTTCTGCTCCTACACAAACAAGCATGCACGAGGGATATCCTGACTTACCGAATCTTTCGCTTCCAACGGATGTCCAGCATTCAACAGACATTCTAGTACGGACACATGACCTCCGGATGCTGCAAGGTGGAGTGGTGTCCCACCAAACTGGAAGTGGCATCGTTAATGAATACAAACCATGTACACACAAACACACACAAACACATACACATACATGCATACACATGCAGATTCATACACATGCACACATACACGCATGTGCGCGCATGTGCATGCGCACACATGCACACAAGCGCGTGCGCACACACACACACACACACACACACACACACACATACATACACACACATATACATACACAAACACACACATATCTCATAAGTTCGCATTTTTTTTCCTAACGTAAGGCATTTCGAAACGGGGGTGGGGGGAGCGCTCGTTTCGAATAGAAAAATGACAGTTCGCACATTTTCTGGAAGTGTACAACACTGTGCTGTGCATGTGCTAGATCGCTTCAGATGACTGTGTTTACATGGTTTAGGTGTGGATCTACCTGTCTTTGCAGATCAGCTAACCCTTGCACTGTATGCATGCATGCAGGCTACTCAGAGGTGTCAAATGTCACACCAGCCTGATCAAACCGTGTACCTGGCCTGCTTTTTTATACAGCAGTACATTGACATTGTACACTGTACATGCACAGCTGTTATGGAGGGGGGAATTGGAGGAACTACATGTACGTTTATGTGTGTACATGACCATTGATGACTACACGTCATTGATTGTTCTTGTTCTCAGTAATGAATAGTAATAGGTTGTTCATTTGACCGGACAAGACCACACGACGCTTGCAGATCACAGCACGAACAGTTCCTCAGCCACACTCCACGAAAGCAAGTAATAGTACTCCTGACAAGTCTTGTTTCGTTCCATAGAGATAATAACGGGGAACTCATCAGAGGAGAAGCAGTTGTTGAATGAAAGGGTTTAGCTGAATAATGCTATTTTATAGAAAAGATATTGGCGCACTGAGGTGTAAACACTCAACTAACTCACATATGTGAAATATCAACACAAAAGGGAATAGTGCAGAATGGAGGTGTTCTGAACCCTACCAGACACAACTATCACAAGTGCTAAATCATTCACACTGAGAAGGAGAGGTACACAGGAATAGGTTGCGCTAGCTTACACGTCACAAATGGTACTGAGGTAGTGACAAAGATAGGTGAAAAGTAGACGCCAAGTGAAAGCCAACAAATCATCACGGACGTCTAACGTCACATCTGAAGATATCTGAAGATTTTTTTCAGTAATGAATGTAACTACAGGATGCACTACAGTACTTCACTAGCAAAACATTCATATCCATGTACATACCCAATGCTGTACACATGTACATACCATAGCATGAGGCATGGACACAGATACAGTAGATCTACACAGAAAATGTGCGATAAGACCTTCAAATAGAGGGGGGGGGGGGAGGTAGGGGGTAAAGTCTATTCGAAATGCGTTACGTTTGCAAATAAAATGCGAACTTATGAGATGCTCCGTTAGTTAGTAAAGGCAACACCGGCACTGGCAGAGAGTTCCGCATCCTTATGGATGAAGAATTCATAAGGAATTGATGCCTTCTACAGTGAAACCTGTCGCTAACAACCACCCCTTGGGGCCAGAGAAAGTGGTCTTTAGTGGCAGGTGGTCCTTAGTTACAGGTTTGCACCACCCAACCATGTATGAATGTGAGACCTTCCGTGCCTGGCGAAGTGGTCTTTAGTACCAGGCTGGTCGCTAGTCACGGTGGTCTTTAGTTACAGGTTTTACTGTACTTAGCATCTGAGATGGGTTGGTCTTCAATTAAGTTGGTTATGGGCTTTGAGCAGTATCAGCTCCAGTGCCGGTTCAGGCAGGTCAGCGAAACTGAAGGGGGGGGGGGGCGTGGGGGGGGGGGCGTGGGGGGGGGGGGGGGGTGGAGGCGGGTTACTTGGACCCGTTTGAAAAAAGAATTATTAACGAGAGAGCTTGGAAGCTCAGGGCCATACATTATGCTTTTTTGCCTAGCTCATCATGCATGTTATTGGAACTGATGGAAATGTTTTTTTCCATTGATTGGTTACATCATTGTTTTGCACAAACGTTTCAATCAGTTTGAATATGAGTAAGGCAAAAGTGATTGCAGAATTTATTGGGTTATATAAACTTTCTCTTTGCATTCGAGGGTAATACGACACCGTCTACCACCTTGCTGACCTAGGCAACAAAGCATAGAGATGTTATGTATAGATGTTGTGTATAAAGATGTTATGTATTTTTTATATATTTTTCAAGACATAACCAAGGATTCGAACCCGCATTATTGTCCGGTGCGCATTACCCCGATACACTTCGCTTACATACTCATTCTTCCAAGTTGCTTCACGTTATGATCTTGCATTTGAAAGCCCTATTTGAATATTGTGGCCAGCTGTCTTTGATCAAGGGCATCACACACGGTACGACCACTACGACCATGGTCGTACCACTTTTCGTCCAGGATGGTCCGCCCAATTCATCGAAAAAAGCAATAAAAAATTCAAGGATCTTCGGACTTGTACAAAACATCGCAACAAATTACTTTCATTGCAAGGAGGAGCATACAGCGTAGATGCCTAGTACTAGCAGTTAGTTATTACCCAAGACTCCAGGCGGCTATCCATTACGATAGGCAGTTGGAGTCACGGGTAGAGACAACCAGACGATGGATTCCTCACGGACGCATTCACTGAAAACTTGACGGAAACGGAGCTGAGCTGGCGGCGATCACTGGGTCTAGAACTAAAAATTTCCAAGATCTACGGTGTTAAAAATAATGGCGATCAGCACGGTCAAGAGGCACTACATGTATGTCACTTGTCAGCTACAACATAATTATATTCTTTCCACAACGACACCTACCTGCTTGTAGTACCTCTGGCTCCTGACGATCCACTGCAAGCTGATGCGAAAATGCTTTACACCCGCGAAAGCCGCGCTTGTCAATGGGAAAGGGAATCGCTTCATTCTCCGAACTAGAAAAGTATTTGGACTGCTGCTCCACGGCGGCTAAATATTCTACAGCTGTTCACCGACACGACCCGCTTCACCCAACGATTTACGATCGTTTCGTCCTCCGAGTTTTTTGGTAGCAGCAGCAAGAATTGCGTCCGCGACGACAGGACGAAAGTCTCTCGCAAACTAAAGTCCTGTTGCCACGAAGACAGAGAAGATTCCGCAAGCCCTTTCTTCTGCTTCCAGTGTTGTAGCTCTCCGATCCACTGGCAGATCTTTCAATCCCACAGAATAAAAAAGGATCTTCTTCTCTCTCTAAAAACAACCAAAATATTACTTCGCGACTGTCCAGGCCGGCCGTGTACATGGTGCATGCGACGCTGCTGACTTTTGCAGAACATAACATACGTGTTTGCACAGCGGCTGGTGCTAGAACGGGCAGCACGCTTGTACTTTGGATTTTGCGATTTTTTCGAGGGCAATGTGTAGGGGTGCGCGGATTATTCCCGGAATAATTTGGGAATACTATCGTTGAGAAAATTTTGGGAATTTTAGGGGAATTCTATCGATCTTTTGCCAGATCCATTGACCTTCAGAAGAGTTTTGAGGGAATTCTGTCAATTTTGACCTGCCAGAGAACAAGCGCGCATCCATGGACGCACGTACATGTACATGTACATGCAGAAACACCCGGACAGTCATGTAGATCTAGTATGATGTACTGTACATCCTGCATGCAGTGATCACGTGCCTGACCGTCCATTTTGCATACTAACGAGCATGCGCAAGGCACGGTTCGTGCTGGGGTTTTTTTTGGGGGGGGGGGGAATTCCGGAGAATTTTTCGATGTTTTGGGAGAATACTTTCGAAGTTCCGCGGGAAATGCGCGAAAGCATAAAGTCGGGTGCGTGCGAGCATAATCCGCGCACCCCTAGCAATGGGTTCCTTTTGCCTTGCTTGGCTACCTACAATGTACAGAAAATACCAAAAAATACATGAGAAGTTTGTTTTTGGAGCTGCAGTGGGGTTGTCGAATAAGTGCTAGGGGAACCCTCCTTTGCGGCTGTAGAGTACTAAAACGTTCCCTGTTAGCCAAAAAATCCTTATTTTTTCTCAGGGGACACCCCCAACCCCGTCATGCCACTCACAGCCGCCCTGTGACGCCCCTGTTGATGGTACGTTACGGGACAGGCACGGGATAGCGCCAGGTATCTTTTCCGCTTGCCCTTCTAGGCTTCTTCCTCGACAGCTCGATCGCCTTTCATCTCTGGTGCGGGTGTAATCTAGTGACTTCACACATGCGTTATAATAGACAAATCTTTTTTCTGGGTTCGTGAAAAGGGCCATGCGTGCAAGTCAGCTCGTGTGAAGTGCATGTTTTTGCATTTAGTTGGTATGTGGCAGTGAATGGGACAGAGAGACTTTTGCTCCTTGAGTTTTTGTACTTGTATGTAAATAGTGTTTTACGTTCACCATGACGGCTACAATTCCCAACCATACCACGACGAATTGATCGGCTACATCATTGTACTGCAAAAGGTTCTATCTGTTCGAATAGCATGCTTGATGAGCTAGGCAAAAAGGCAAACGGTAGGACCCTGAGCGAAATAAATAAATTTTCTCTTTGCATTCGAGGGTAATACAACACCGTCTACCACATTGATGACCTAGGCAAAAAAAGCATAGGGATGTTATACATTTTTCATTTCTCCTATTTTTTTTCAGAACATAACCTGGGATTCGAAACCACACTATCGCCCTGCATGTATTCCCCCCGATACACTGCGCATACCTACTCATTCTTCCCAATTGATTCACATTACGATCTTGCATTTGAAAGCCCTGTTTGAATATTGTGGCCAGCTGTCTTTGATGGTACGGTACGGGACAGGCACGGGATAGCGCCAGGTATGCCGACGGCACAAGCACACAAAAACGGAATTAAAGCTGTGTGGACCCTTGCTAGCGCCGGACGTTACTGAAGTAACGTCTTTTGCATAGCTACGGGAATAAATTGAGAATATAGGGTAACTACATAAAAGCTGTGCTAGTACTCGTTAGCTTTGTACTGCAATCAAGCCTGACGTTATGTGCTTGTCTTTGCTGCGTAATTACAA